AGCCATCCTCAGAACACCCTGTATAAAGGAAATGTTCTGAGTACATGTTTGGACTCAATGTGCACATTTCCCCAGTGACACATATCCGTACATACAGAGAGCTGACAGAGCGTTGAATATTCCGAGCACATAGACGGGCCATTGTTCTGAAGGCTTCATCTACTTTGGATTTGAGAAGGATTTGGGAGTTTCTGCTTGAAGGGAAAGAGCAAAGGGTTACAGGCCAGAAGCCCAACTGATGCATGGAAATGGTTATAAGAAGATAAGTGAAGGGAATGTGTATTTTTTATTATTCATGTCAACCGAACTTCATCTCCCTCCTAGTATTGGGATATTTGCATATGATTTGGTATCTTTCCACCCAGCTACACATTCCATGCAGCTGAAGAAATCTATATTTTCTAGTGGAACAAAAGATTTTTTTTTTATCCTTAAGAGTTCAGACGTTAGAACCACCATTATTTGTCCAAGTAGACTCCTCTGTACTTCTAAAAGAACTCTAATTTTTTAACATTATTTGGAAAGTTTTACAAAGCACAAAGTGTGCACTGCTCTTTAACTTCCCTGGTTTGATAAGAATGATTCAAGGTTTTTTGCATTTTTTCTACAAAAATGTTGTTGTGAGTGCAAATTCAAGTGGCTGAACAGAAAAGTGGAGTTAAAGAATGGAAAGATGAATCTCTAAATGCTACTGAAGCAGAACAAGGCCCTTATGTAATGTATTAGTGTGGGTGAGCCAAAGATTAAAAAAAAATACTGCAGCAGAGCCAAAAGCTGTTGTTTCCCACAGTGTTTCTGTAAGACAAGCCAATGGCATACATGTAGACATATAAAACATTCAGATTGTAATGCATGTGTAATAAAACTGGGGGTAGTATTTTTCGCTCTTAACAACTATAGTATGATTTTGCAAGCAACCTTTTCAAACTACGTAAAAGAAAAAGGTCTAAAGAAATATGGGTTCTCAACTGATTGCGATTACACAAAATAAACACATCACAAAACAAGAAAAACAGGCCATTTTTAATAACTTTCAGAGCAGAAAAACATAAATAAACGTAGCTGTCAATGGAACAAAATCTAAATACGGTAGCATTAGGAAAAACATGCAAACCACCAGTGGGACCCAAACTACACAAGAACCTCTCTAGACACTTTGCTGTTCGTGATTTTTCTTTTTGCAGCAGAGCAGACAGATACATTCCTTCATACCTCTCCCTCCTGTGTTCAGTTACAAAATCTGACAGTCCTAAGTTAACAGTGGAAGATGAATGTCTCATTACAATGCAGGGTACAAACACAAGTTACAGCCATTTGCCCCAGATTCTTTTAATAGTGTGAATCTATTAATTAAAAATGTGCAAATAATTAGACTGAATGTACTGTATACAGCAGTAGTATTCTTCAGATTTTGTTTCACTGTATGATACAAACTAATCTGTAGTCCTTTGTACATGATATCACCCAATTTGTAGCGGTATTAAATGTGAAATTCAGAGCAATTTGCACAGATTGGCCTTGGCTTACACCAGTCTTACATCTGGTTTAATCTGTGTTTTGGTTAAGTGTTTTGTGATCTCTGTTTATGCACACTGGGGTAAACTTCTTCATGTATTGATAAACCAAAACATCTAGAGTTTATCCTGTGAAAGAGAAATTAAATTTTGGCTCTCAGTTAGTGCATCTTGCAGCTACATGGAGACAGAAAACCTCCCATATTAGATAATGAGCTGTCTGACACGATCCGCTGCGGCTGCAAATTGCCTGCGCAGCACATAGCCTAGATTCGAAAGGCCGACCTGGCGGACATGCCAGATGCCTGCCTGACGTGTCCTGGTTTGACCCCCCACTCCCCTCCCACTCCCATGACTCCATTCATTCAGCATGACCTTTCACCCCGTGCTTGTGTCGGAGCTGAAGATTTACCCGTTTTGGAGCATGGAAGGAAGTTAAGAAGTAAAGAGGCCAACGACTTAGGCAAACACAGTCAGTTTACTTAAGCAGGTTTATGGCAGATCAATAGGAATCGTGATTGGAAGTATTAATTAAGAAATATACTGCATATTGAACTCCATACATTGAATAAGTGAATTATGCTTTTCCATAACTAATTAGAATTGGTTTTAGCCTAATGATGGCTTGAGAGTAGTTGTGGTATAGCCGGTCGGTTTTGCCTTCAGTGTTTTATTTTTGTCCAAACTGTAATTCTGTTTCACATTAACTCGTGTTGCTAGAAATGTTTTCCACTGGTTTTAGAGTGATGAAAAATTTGCATCGTTGCCATTGCGGTTTTTATTAATTTCAAACTAAATGTTTTATCTTTTGAATAAACAAAAGTCTTCAAAATGTAGTCTATAAACAGGAACTCCATGAATAGCATTACAATAAATTCAATGTGATAAACATGACATTGCATATTAAACACTTGATACTATCCATAAAGTGTTGATGCTGCGTTGGGATGTCTGTATTGTCTTTTTGGTGGATAATAAGAGCACGTCTGTTGGAGGAGGGGGTGGATATCTGCTCCCCAGACTCTGACCTTCAAACAGGCTGTAATGTGTCCTCTGGGGTGTGAGGCTGGTTAGAGGGGGTGGAGAGGTAATGGACTGTGCTTGAGCTTGTCTTCTTCACAACACCTGTCTGGACTTCTAGCGGAGCATGTCCTAAAGCTACTGCGTCATAAGAGCTGAAGAAGCTATTCTAGGGCAGCGTGCAGGCTGACATTTGTTTCTGGAAAATTGGAATTACTTTGTAGCTGAAGATCATTTAGAATTCAAGAGCTATGGTTTAGTACTCAAAACTGGGTCAAGTATGCTACTAAATTATGCCTTGACTGTGACAAGATTGTATGTGTTTTAAGTTGATCTTGACACTGCTAATGTTGAACTCTGTAAAATTCTGTTTTCATGGACGATTGTAAAGGTTTTTGCCTTTAATGCTTCTCTGTAGTTCTTGTAACCATCAGTCTAGTTGGAAGCTGACAAAGTCTTTTCCATTCATGAAACTAGTCTAGTAACAGTACCTAACAAAAGACAGATAAGAAAAAACATAATTTGACATCCCAAGCTGTCCTTTTGTTCTCTCAATTTGCTCTTTGTTGTGTTATCAGTGCAGAGGGAGACGGTGCTGATGAGTATTGACAGGTAGTGAAAGCTCAGCTCTTCAATGCTGCGAAACAAAGAAACATTGAACAAGGACAAATATCTGGTGCTGATACAAAGAAGGTTCCAAAATTGGTTCCTGTGCAAACTTCAGATCAGTATTCGTTGTTATTTTTCTTTCTGGTCTATGCCTGGACTTGCCCTCAACACAGTGATAGCAAACGGGCTAGTGAGTGTCAAAGCAACCAAGCCACAATGTGTCACCTACATTAAGCTCTTAAGTCGTTTAGCTTCAAATTACTTAAACAAACAATTAAAGCAAGAAATGGAAATGTATAGGTTGTCATGGCAAGATATGCCAATGATTACCAACATAAAAACTTTAGAAAATCCAATAGCCACCATACATTCATTTACAAGATAACATGTAAATTAGAGAAAGTTAGAGTAAACCTTGCTGCAAAATTGCAATTTGACACTTCTTTTCCCCAAATTGTTCAGTCCTAGATGCCTTGATTCTTTTTAACAAAAACAAAGCTAACAACTTTTGTGGTGGATGAGGCCAGTGTGAAGTAAAAAGCACAGGAGCCTGTAGTTACCAGCTCCAAACAGAAAAGCTCAGCTGAGGTAGTAAAGACAGGGAGTTAATCTAAAGGTCACTGGAACAACAAAGCGCCTTGGCAGAGATGACCAAAGTGTTATAAGGTTATGCAATCTATTGAGCAGCTGTGTAATGTCAACGCACAGTCTGTTACAGTGGTGCCGAGGAATAGACAGGGTTTAATCCTGGATTCAGAGTTAAGAGCAGCAGCAGATGACAAATATGTTTATGTAGCACTAACACACACCATGGTCTGAAAGCAAGTTCTGTCTTGAGTGGGACCCCAGAGACCTACTATCTCATACATGACCAGTGGCATATGAAATGAAAAGCAGAAGGTGTCAGATCACAGGTGGGTATTTTAGACCACAAAACACAAAACATTACTACATAGATTTAGAGTATCTTACGCATTTGGGCAGAGACTTTGTTAGGGAAGACACAAAAGAGCCTACTTTAGTCTCCAAACACATGAAGGGCCTACTCAATCTATGTTAGTCTCCAACTTGGACAAATAGAAATCAATGCATGCTAAGTGATTAGATAACATTGTTAAAGTTAAGTGTACCAACATATTAAGCACATACTACCCTAAAACGTCAGATATGCCAAACGCCTTTTCATGTCACAATGGTTCATGTAGAGCGAGACAGAGACACTAACCAATAAATGTGTAAATCAACAAAGGCACCGCCTCCAGCCTCTCCTGGCTCTATTCCCTGTTATATAATCGTGTATTAGAGCAGCAGGCCAGGCTCTTCATGCATTCACCCTAAAGAACAGCCAGTACATATGTGCTTAGTACATGGTGCATTGTGTAATCTGAGGATAAAAATATGTGAAGCAATTGAAGCAAAAGCCCCTTCTGGTTTAAAACACTGAGTTTGGTTGTATTAAGCCTAGCTGTCATTTTGGTGTAACATGATCAGTTATTTTATGCCCATTATTCACTTTCATTTATAGTTCTCTCCTTCCCTAAAAGCATATTATAAATCTGCTAAGGAAGAAGCAAACCAAACATGTGGTCAGTTGACCATTACGCCCACACAAAATTCATATCCGATCCAGTGCACACTCACCGCTACAGGCTGAATTCCACTTCTACTAAAGCCTCTGTTGAAGAACTCAATTGTTTGCGTAACGGTTGTACTGTGTAACTACTAACGATGAACCAAGGGACAAAAGCTAATCCGGTATATCAGTATATTTTTTTTATATTTGCTATATGCCTGGGATAATAGCAGATCCCATACTCTCACATGTTATTCTCACTTCAGATGAGGTGTTAAAAGTACCTGTTCCTGGGCACTGGTATGTGGCAAGAGTGGGGCTGTCTGTCTGTTGGGGTAGTTTCCTGCCCCTGTCCCAGCTCCGTTTGGTTCCCTGGGTTCCTGATGTCCAAGTGCATGAGTCGTCCAGACACCTGCCCATTGATGACCCCTGGGCAGTGAAGGGGGCTGGCCTTCCTGAGAACCTCTACAGAACCAGCATTGTTTTGGTCCCCCTGGCCCATCTAAAAAGAAAATGGCAACATCAACATTTGGGGTAATGAGAATACAGTATGCATAACTTTATGCACATGCATTATTAAAATATGCATTATTTTTTACATCTATTATGTTTATATTCATGTTACATCAAAGAAGCTATTATTGATAGTTATTTTGGCCAAAACCTTTATTTGATGCTGATGCTTAAGTTAGTGCGTACTCTAGTGTATACACATAAAAGATTACTGGAGAAAGTACCCTTATGGGCATGTGCTGAGGCAAAGCTTGAAAGCTCTCGCCATAGCTCCACCCCAGCGATATGGGGGAGGGGTATGGTTAATAGTTTTGAAGTCCCTGCCCCCGTTTTCTGTAAACTTTGTACACACCGCTTGAGTCCCCGCCATTAACAACTGTTTGTTCTCAACGTAGTTAATTTGTTTCTGTCATAGTCGCCGGTTTATGAAGATTTGTCAAAAAGTGGAAGAGAGCACCAACTCATTAAGACAATTTGCGCACTAAAGTAGCACAGGGCTGCAACATTTGTGGTGTCACAAAAACGGTGCGTGCGTTCGCTAATAGCAACTGTTTAAATGTAATAACACCGTGTAAATAACGGACTTTATAGCGATGAAAGTGATTATTCCGCTGCGTAATGACAGCGTTACATCCATAGCTGTTGTTGATTTTGCCGGTTTATGAAAAGCGCACATAGAAAAGCAGACCACCAAAGACAGTTACCTTCTCCTTGTCGTGCAATAATCGTTCCCCTGAAGACAGTCCATTCCCTTTTAAAAAAGTTTTCTCGCCTTTGCCCTCAGCTCCTGGATCCAGAACAAATGTGTAAAGGACGGGGCCGTGGCTGTACGCCGGCGTGTGGCCGTGTTTACCCGGGGTGTTGCGGAGCACAGGACGGCCTGTCAGATAGCTGTAGTCTACGCCACCGACCCTTGACTTGTCCATGATATATCTGGAGTCCATGTTGAGACACAGCGAGTGATTAAAGAAATAAAACCAGCTTTCGGATGGTTTTAGTGCAAACTGCCGGAATTAGATGCATTTATGAAGATTGTCGATAGTAGATGTAAATTGTCTTTGCTCCAAACTAGTCTACATGTAAGTTCTTCAGCCGCCACTACCACCACCACCACCCAGGATATCCAAAAGCCGCCCGGTCAGAGGGATAAAAGATTGTTTTGCCTCTTTCCTCCAAAAGAATACCACGCCCCCTCGGAAACGCTCCCATTGGTCTGTGGCGTGCACAAACGCTCCACTTTGGCACGCGTCCACGGCGAGGCGCATCTGGATAGGCCAGTGTGTCTCTGTCAGTCAACAGTTTGCACCAATGAGAGCGTTTAGGGAGGATTGGGAGAGGAAGAGGGGCATGTCCTTCACTCACCGGCCGGTGTTTGTGGCTGAGGCAGAAGAGCCGGTTTATGGCAGCAGACACAGCGGAAAAGTGTGCGGGCATCGAACTCCGCGCTTATGTTTTACAGATACATTTCGCATAGGCCTACTCATACTATATGAGAATACTTACCATGATGAAGCAAAGAAAAGAAGGCCACTCTATAAACGGAAGTGTCAGTCAGTTTTTTAAGGTTTTAAAACGCAGCATTCTGTTCCTAGTGTTGCAGTGGGACTTTAATTAAAGATGCAGTGTACACAGAAATGAGGGTTGGACAGAAGACATGACACTGTATTAGAAAAGTAAAAACTCACTTTATTATTTTATGAAGATTAATATAAAACATTACAATCTTTGCATATTTGCACGGTCACACTATATGTTCATATATTTATTCTTTTGAAGTAAACCCTGTGCTTCATAAACATACAACATTGGCTACAGCTGTCACAGCAGAACTGGCCCATAAAAGACTATGAACAAACATTATCTGTAGGCTATCTGCATGGAAAGCATGACAAAGTTTTGCATCCACAAAGTACAATGTGTCTGTGATAACCATCATTGTAGAACAAATATACTGTTTACTGTATGTTACATTGAACAACATTAGAACAGCAACAGAATATTTTACACATTTACATCTTCATACTGCTTCATTATTGTGCAATAAACATCTGTTGTTCTCAGTACTGAACAAAACATATCATAACCTTCTGGAATTAAGAGTGTGACACAAAGTGAGAGAGACCAATGATACATAGCCTACTGTATAGAACTTAAGACTTTTTTTTTTATCAGGCAGTAGTTGAGCTGTAAGTGAATGGTTGAGTATGGGATTGGCCCGGTATGTCTGCTCCTGTATTCAGCACCCGTAAGACCCCTACGTCCCACTGGCTGGACATCAAATGACGTTGTACACCAGGAGTGAGGGGGAGGCAGGCAACAGAGGATGGAAGATGAACACCAAATGAGGAGTTGTGTATGTGTTCCCACAATCGGTTATTGTAACTTATAGCTTTTACTTTAGCCATCATTTTATCCACCTATGGCCCATTTGCTGCTGAGAATATGCTTGTATACAATCTTCATATCTCATAGCTTTGCATTACATGGCAAAAGAGTACAACTCAAAAATACATTATAACAAGATCAGTTAAATACAACAATGTTTTTCTCCATATATTAAAGCATGCACTTTTTGATCAAGCAAAATTGCACAAACAACATATTGTTCCCATGGCAGTGGCATGAGCTCTTTAACCAAAGAAAACATCTGCAAACTAAGGAACAGTGCATTAAACTACAGTGTGCATTATTTAAAATACTTTCTTACTGTTGGTGACGTATATGTAAGTGACTGGCCTTTTCAAAACCCATTTTCTTTGTACATGGTGAATTGACTCACAGTAAGATGTGTTTTTGGTAAACCTCAATCTTTACATTTTTTCTTATAGACAGATATTGTTTGTCATTGTGAAGAGAATTTGGTAGTGACTGAAAGCACTGTGGAGTTTGAGCATCCAAAGGACACTTGCTGTCTATTTCTTTGACTACAACTGTATTTCCCTTGGACTGCAAACCTCTTGTTGCTATTGGAACAACGCGTGCAGAATGAGTCCAAATTAGTCTGGAAATGCCCTTACGTAACATGATACAATTAAGCACAAACTGTTCTGAAACTGTTCGATGCAATATAGCAATATTTATACAGAGATAATGAAATCCAGATAACCAAATAAATGAACAATGTAGATCTAAAATATTTTATAATAATTCTGTTCATTGACATATTTACTTGTTTGTCTGTTACAGTCGATGTTTCCTGATGAGAAATTATATAATGAAGAAATTACTGGACAACCAAATGTTAAGACGTGTGCCTTTGTTCAAATTGCCATTAGATGTGCTTTTATGAATTATTTTAAGATACAATAGCAACTCAAAGAAACTCTGGATTAGTTAAACATTAAGGGACACAAAGGGGTTTGTTAAACGGGACAATTGCCTTGAATAACCCTATGTTTAACAGGTATTACAGACTAAAGTCTAAACAAAGCCTGTCAAAGGCATCCACTGGCCAATAGGCCTTTGCTCACAAAACCTGTTTCATGTTTGTTTAGTTAAAGTTAAGAACCACAAATCTCCGTGTCGTCAGCTGGGTTTATTACATAAATACCCACAAGTATAAGGATATGTGTGTGCTTGTTTGTGTGGGATACAAAGGTGTGCCTTTTGCTGCTTATGTAGCCAGTGTCATTTCTACTGTCCATCACAATCCACTGTGTGTTGTGTTTTGCACATTGCATGCACATTTTTGATTGACTTCATTTTTTTCTCATGTTTACACTATTTACCCTTTCAGAGCACAGTGTTAATATAAAAATAAAATTATTATGGAAAATGGTGCACACACAAGTATCACACAGTAAGTAACATGTATATTTCCATTTTCATTTTTTCATCTTTGTTTTGCTATATTTTTTGATAAATTTTTGGTCCACACATGGGTTGGTCTATGCTGACGCTGAAATACAGGCCAGAGAGGAGAAGTTCGAACCTGGATTAGACCCTGTTTGTACCTGATGTCAATGCAATGGATCTTCAAACAGTTTATCTGGGTCTTCAATCTTATGTACAGTAAACAGAGATGCCCCTCCCTCGGCCCTGTACTTTTAACCCTTGGCTTGTTCATCTTCTGTACCCTGCAGCTACAGTCCGGTCACATACATCTCCATGCCATCATTGAAAGTGAAGATGGTGGTAGTACTGGCGCTGTTGGCCCCTGCTTTCACGTCACTGATGCTTTCATAGAAGTGTTCCCCACCGGGCAGGCCTCTGACAGGCAGAGAGGATGGTCCGGAGCCCTGAGCTGGAGCAGCTGCTGGGAGGGCTGCTTGCTGTTGCTGTGGTTTCTTCCTCTTCAGAGTAGCACTACCTCCCGCCGAGCTATTATTGTTGCCAGGTGACTGCTCACGTTTCCGGTGACTGTCGATGGTGGCGTATGACGGGTCGGATTCAGCAGTAGCACAGGTGGACCAGGAGCCTACTGGTTCATAGCAGGGCTCTTCCTGGGACCGGGCTTGCACCTGCACACCTCTGCCTTTCCCTCTGCCCCCACCAAATGAGCGCGGGAGGGTTTTAGCACCATTGTTTTCCATTGGAGGCTTCTTTCTCTGGTTCTTACACACAATGGAGTAGGTCTCTGCAATCTGAGAACAGACACACAGGGAGAATGAGGTGTCAAATAATGGGCAGATATCACATACTGTTATCAAGGCACCATATACAAACAAGCTCAGTCATTAATTCCACAAATACATACTTATTGCATTATGTAAAGGAAAGCACTGATCCAAAACTGGTATTGAATATTGGTGCAGATAATGAAAAATTTACTGGATCAGATAACGGCTTCCAAATATCGCTTCTGATTGAACATATAAACTGATGTAATAAGCCTATGTACTGGTCAGCACAGACAAGGTTCTAAGGTTTTTAGTCTCTATCAGTTGATATTGAATATTGGAAGATATATGAATCCATAGTATCAGAATCAGTATCGGAACTGAAAAAGCTAGATTAGTCCACCCCTACTAATTAGTCAATCCATTATGGAACTTGGGTGGGGTCAAATTTGGACAATAGCACATTTAACACAGAGGGACACTTTGACAGACATGTAGTCCCACATGCATTCAACTACAACCACACAAATTAGCTCAGGATTGGACCAACAACCTCCTCCTGAGAAGCAGAAGTGCAAACTGGTCTCTAAAATACTACAGTCAAAATGTGTTTGTCAACAAGCTGATATGAGTCATAATATACTGCCATAAAATTTGCTGTATGCATAATAATTTGGCGTATGTGATATATATAAAACCTAACCCACACGCACAAATATAGTGAAAATGGATCCTTTAGAAAACATGTAATGTGTCTAATTTTAACTGCGCAGAAGAGTGTCAGTGTGCGTGGTGTGGGCGTGCTCACAGTAGTTTGCGTATGTGTTGACTGTGTGCTGTAACCTGACCTATTTTGATGGGAGAGTAAACTGTGTTATCGCTTTGCTGAAGTCTAGGCTGCACACTCAGTGGATAGACCTGTTAAAATTTCACCACAACTGCTCTGGTGTGAAGGCCTGGACCACAGCCAAGGCACTCACAAATACTGTTCCCCTGTTTTTATTAGTAGACTTTGCTCAGCTCCCATTTACCTTGAACAGGGAATGCACAGTACACATAAAGAGCAGTTGCTTTACTTTAGGGTGTAGTAGTGGTTTAACTTTTAGCCATTCACAAACCACAGAGTGAGATGTATACACTGGAGATAAAAAATATTTCTTTTGACATTATCATGGCAATTTATCTAAACAATTTCATTTTGAACAAACCAACCAATGACAAGGACCAGGGATAAAAATAGAACCAAGCCTTAACCAGGTGCTAAATCTTTAACCAAGCCAAACAAGGTCTGAAAGAGGCAAAACAATGATGAAGCCAAACTGTAAATTAAACCTAATCAGAGAACAACTGCAAACTGCTGAATAAGAACTGGCACTGGTACCACCGTTTGACAACCACAGATCATGTCCATCTTGCAGAATTCTAACACTGTCAACTGCAAAGCTTGTGCAGGAGGAGATAGATAGAACGAGTGCCGTGACCTCTGGCATTTCTGTGTCAAAATTCCACACGCACACAACCAGAGCAGAGGATTGTGGGATATGCTCGTGTTTACTTTCAGTGTTGACACCCAGACCAGCTTTGACCCAGAGAAACTAGAGTAATAAGGGCTGTAGTTAACTCTATCTAGCATAGATATACAAATGAGAAGAGCTGTGCACAAGCTGTAATTACCTTGTATTGTTGTGTGGAATGTGTTATTAACTAAACTAAGTAAATAAGCTTGAACAAGGCACTTTGAATTTTGATGCAGCACCTTAATATTTTGACAACTTAACCTTTGTAGTTTTTGTCAGTAAGCTGTCTGTAATGATTGTCTTTTTGTTTGTTTTTTTGTTGTTGTGTTTTTCCAATGTGGTTTTCAACTACAAATAGCAAATAAACTGGCCTAACTTAACCTAAAAGCAGGCTATTACACTTTTGCCCTTTTGAACACGTTTTAACTGGCACGTGGTAAGATTTATTTTTTTTTTTTTACTTTTGTTCTTGTTTCCACAAACATATTTCACCAAATTCTCACTGTATGTGTTTTTATGCATGCAGAATTTGCAGCGAGCAAAGGAAGGAAGTCACAAGATGATGGGGATTTCAAAACTGGGCTGCAGCTGTTGAGGAAGCCAGAGTTTTGTATGTTTTCTTTTCTCCTCCCTTGCAGTGCCTTTCTGATAGTTACCCTGCAGATTCGGTGTGGTTTAAAGCTACACTGAACTCTGGCAAGACCTGCTTATTCTCCATGGAAACACAATCGCATGCATGACTAGTGTATCTGTGCGCTGCCAATTTGATGAATAGTGAATATGTTATAAGTTTCCAAGTGTCTGCAAGCAGTTCATATTCATACAACTGGAGAGAAACATGATTGGTCAAATAAGGCAGCGCCCCCTAATAGCCACAATGGGAGGGGTGAGGAACGAACAAGAGGGAGAGGTGGGGTTTGGAAGTGGAAAACTGACAAAACTGACAAACTCCAGAAGTGAAAAGTAAATGCGCAAAAACAAATATTTAAATGGAAAATGCAAATAATCTAAAAGAAATGTGAACACAAGAAGTTGGCATTTAAAGGATTGGCATTCTACAAGTTATGTGTAATTACAATGTTAAGAATTTAGAGTTTACAGTGAAGTGTTTTAAAGGGCCCATATTATGCAATTTTCTGCTCTGTGTTACATCAAAACAGACCTGGAGTTGTGTTTTGTTTCAGTCCCACGTGTTTAACACACAAACCCCACATATGTAGGCTAAGGTTTTCTCTTAAAAGACACACCCTGTTCCACTTTGTGATGTCATGTGGTAATACAGGAAGTGCTCCACTGTGTTTAAACTCCATTCACCTTCACTAGGTCCATTTGGATAATTTCAGACCTGGAATTGCCAATCTCTACTAAACAAAAGTTAAATAGTAGCTGTTAACTTGAAAAGTACCACCTCATGACATCACAAGGTGGAACAGAGCAGTTTGAGCTTTGGAGATGTAGAGAGTAATAATAAACCTTTTAATATCATGTGAAATGTGTGGTCTTCTATTGTCTTTTATTGTTCTGTTTCATTGACTTTATTTATTTATTTCTATGGGTCTATTTTACGCTTTTATTTAGTTATTTTTACTCCGTAGCTTTTATTATCTTTAGATTTTTAAAATTTATTTATTTTATTATCTTTTTTATTTTTTATTTATACTGTAGGCTACATACATTCAAATAAGCACAGAATAAACAAAACAACAGATACACACACTCATTCACACTTGACTGTTAGACACATAATAAATCAAATTTGAACAAAAACTAAGACAGAGTTCAAATGTAGTTACAAAATACAAAAGATGAACAACAAAATTCAACAAAATGATCAAAAACAGTTACACGGGTTATGTAAATATTGAACCATAGCATTTATGAATGAAGGGACAGAAGTTAATGGAAGGAAGATCAGCGGAAGCTTTATCTTTACATGAGTGTTTTCCTATTTGTTTTTTGACTCTTGGGACAACAAAAAAAATCTGATCTGCATGATGTAAACTGTAAGAGGATCTGAATCAAATCGTATTGTATTAAATTGTTGATTTTTTATTTATTTATGTGCAACACTTTGAAGACAGTTTTTATTAAGAAAATCTGCTATAAAAATAAAGCAGCTTGGATTGAGATTTACAGAGAAGAGGTTAACTCAAAGTCAAATGAGCCGAAACAGAATCACAGTGTGGTTTGTTAGTCATTGTTATTGTTTCATACCAGTAGCAAGGTATGAATAACTGCCTTACTTGTATAACATGATTAATACAACAAAAATTTTTTTCATTATCTTTTATTGAATGCTCATGCGCAATTATTTTCTGACCTAGTTAATGTTCACAGCATGAGATTTGGCTGCAGACACACCCTCTGTTCTTGGATTTCATTCTCAAAACATGATTGTGTGTGTTCAAAGGTACTCAAAGAAAAACAGTCAGGTGGTGGTGGAGAGATTGTGTGTTGTGAGCACATGTGTTGGATTAAGTGACATGTAGGCTTCCCCCATCCCGCCACCAGACATTCAGAAACCTATATTGTTTAGCTTGAAGCGTAACAGCAGATTTGTTTGGGGCCAATCACAAGCATCTGTATAGATTTCCTCTTAACAAAAGCCTCTTCACTATATTACGCTAGAGCAGGTGAGGACACCATCGGGTCTGGGTTGCAGCAGACAGCGACAGACTGGGGACTGAGGTCAAAGTTCAGGCCGAGGGGGTTGGGTGAAGGGAGGCAGGCGTGCTGGATCTGTGTCACATGACCCTTGGCTGTAGGAAGCAGTCTCGGATAATAGGTGGGTCAGAGGTTGGCGCTGTTATGATGGCCTGACCAATTGTTTGTGTCCACGTGATGTCACAATAAAATTAAAAGAGGACGGGAGGGAAGTCAACAAGAAGCATTTGTTTAGTGCTGTTTACAGTCACTGCTTGTGTTGTAGTCAAGACCACACTAGTCGAGACCAAGATCTGGCTGAGACTACAGGGTCTCAAGGCCAGGACAAGACCAAGGACTCTGAGGGTTGACATCAAGACAAGACTAAGACATTTAAAGGCCAAGACTGAGACAAGACCGAGACCTCTGAGGGTAGAGACCGAGACAAGACCGAGACTTTTAAAAGCCGAGACTGAGATAACACCGAGACCTCTGAGGGTTGAGACAGAAACAAGACCGAGACAAGCCTGAGCCAGAGACAAGACCAAGGTCATGACCCATCGCCTTCAAAACCGAGACGTGGTCAAGTCCGAGACAAGACCAAGTCCAAACGAGGTTGAGTCCAAGATGAGACTGAGTCCAAACACAGTCGAATCTGAGATCAAAACCGTAAAAAGACTGGTCTCGAATACTACAACACTAGTCACTGCAAATGACCAATTTGAGAACTTAAGAAGAGTACGTAGCTCAATCAGAGTTACTCAAACATTTGTGAATGAAACAAAACACAACTCTGAGTATGTTTCTGAGGAGGTAACAGCTTTATAGCATGACTTAAAAAAATCTATTTTCAAATTTAGTGTAATATAGGACCTTTCGAACCAGGTTTAAGTATTTTTGTACATTTTCTTGCTGGATGTTCATTTCATTTGGATGTCTAACTTCATCATACTAAAGAACAGAGCAGACTGTCCTAACACCCATCTTGTCTCGTTGACCTTGTCTGACTGACGTTGATCACACAAAATCTATAGAGGCAGACAGACAGAGCAGTACCTCCTTTGCGGTTGGGGGTGGCGGGTGTCCCTGTCCGTTGTCTCCGCGGTGTGGTGGTGGGTGCAGGGTGATAATGTCGTCATCCTCAGGGGGCTTCCAGATGTACTGCTCCCCATTGCCCATGAACACAGCCTCCTGGTACAGACAACAATACAACATGGTTAAACATTCATGCAGAAATCATTTTAATAATTGCTTACTCTAAAAGAAACGCAAGCTGTTTGAGGGGCTATACCTCCTCCAACTGTGCCACAATGGATTACGCTTGGGTTTGCGTGTGTACGTGTGGGTGAGGAGTGGGAGTATGTGCATTTGCAAGCAATTTAGACATTGACAACATCAGACGGTTTTGAGAGGTCAATGGTCATGCATGAACTGGGGGAGGGTCGTCACACTCTTCGATTTGAGACTTGAGCTTGACAGTGTTATGGTTGTGGTAATTGAAAATCTTCACCGAGTCTATTCAGTCCTGAAATCAATTATAGATAAGAATATTTTTGAGTCTGTCCTGTTTATAAGTTAAAAATACATGTGCAAAATCAACTCCACAATTTAGTGCGGCACAGTAATACATTTTCATAATTACAATGTTTCCATTAATACATGCTGCTATGCTGATTTCCATTATAAATACAAAGTACTTGAGTGTTTTATGGTTGAAATTTGACTTGAGTTAATCAGTCCTTTCCTAACCCGCCTCTTTCTATAAGGCTTCATGCGAATCCATCCAGCCAAAGATAAACACACACATATTTGAGCTTGTTCTCTTTGTGACCTGGAGGGACTTGTTCACCATTAAAATTTTCAACCCTTCCTTAGTTAGATTAAGAGCTCTCCACTGAGTAATAGACAATGTTAAAAATAATGAGAACTGATTAATAAATGTAAAATAGAATAGTGTAGTTCCAAATCATATTTATTGTGAATGTATGTGTTATAGATCTGGTTATTAAATGAGTGAATAAAACAATGCAACAGTCAAATCAAATAGCCTTTTAAAAATCCTGCCCCGTGTTGATCCAATTATAAACCAATTACTTGTGTCATGCCCTGTTGTGTGCACATGCAAACAAGGATAATTAAACTTTTATACGCTCCTCCTGTGCACTTGGCGTGAGTAATAGGCACTGGCTGAGGCGGGGAAATGGTTTCAATATGTGGACATTATTTATCCGTACTGCTGGCTGACTGCTGGCTACCTGTTAGCTGTGCCTTGATAGACTCGCTGAAAGACTGAACACAAATGCACACTCAGAGACACACGGGGAGGGTGCAGCTGGCAGCGGGCCAGGCTCTTACATAATCCGTCCTTCCACTCTTTACTCGCCTGCTCTAATGCTGCACTACAGGCTAATGGCATAGCACAGACGCACTGCCATGGATATAAAACGGACAGGTCAAAGACAGTTACACGGATGGACTACAATAATACAGTACAAGCAAACTTGACCTATTTACACATACAGAAATATATACATAGATACATAGATAGATACATACATACATGCTCGTCCTACTACATACAGATATATAGATGGCCATGTATTGTTATTGTACTAAATACAACAAAACTTCAAGAGCAAAACTATAGCAGTGTCTAAAAGCACTGCTGCTGGACCCGTTTTGTTTTTACGTAATCTATTTCCATGTAAAATGTGCTGTCAATAAAGCCACAATACCTCACTTACGTAATGATACAGTAGTTAAATAACATCTAAAATCATCTGCTCATGCGCAGATCATAAGTGTAATTTCAATACTAACCATTACTACTACTAATACTAGTGAGAACAAAACTTTTAAACTTATTGTAGTGCACACTGGGTATATTTGTACCATAAGCCAGCTCACATTTCAATTGTAAACTGTAGGAAAAGCGTTTGTAAGTTAGTAAACAAATTATTGATTTTGCAAAAACTCTAACCTTTCAAATGTTGTTAACTACAACACAGAAAGTCATAAAGGTCTTAGAAAAATCAATACGGATTTGATATGAATAAATTAAACAAAAAAATATATAAACTAAAGCCTGAGCAGGAAAGGGAAAGTCTACATTAATTTGTGTACACTGCCCTCTGTTGGTCAATGCCCAGACATGCATGTTATAATAGCCGTGAACCTGCCCAGAAAGAGCATATGATGAGAGAGTATTGATTCGTTGCTGTACCTTGGGGAATGAGTGTATGTGAAATGGCTCGAGTGGTTTGCGTGGAAACTCCTGACTGCGATGGAGCGGAGGAGCAGAGGGAGAGTCGCTCACACTGGACTGGTCTGACTGGCTATCGCCGCCATTATTTTCCTTCCTGCTCGCCTTTTCAACCTGCTTGAACCATGGCACAAGAGTAAAAATAGCAAACATTTAAGTTTTTAGTTAGTTTCTGACAAATCTAATCTTCAATTAATACATTTGTAATCAAGGACAAGATTCAGTCATGTCTAAGTGTTAAATGTTTTTACTTCCTTTTTGTGAAGTTCACAGCCAACCCTCTTTTAGTAGTAGTAGTTCAGAGTTGGGAGGAATAAATGTGACTTATTTTGTTTATTTATTTGAGTGAAATGGCACGTATTGAAATGCTGTAAATGTTAATGATCAGGAAATTAATATCAGGATAATTATTAAGTGTTTTAAATTGACAAATATTATGACATATCAATATTGAATATATATACTTTTTGTAATTTTGTTGGCCCTGACCTAGTTAATACTTTCCAACTATATCAATACATTATTGTGGACATTTTTATTTGTTAAATAGAAATAGCAAGACACTGTACACTTGAAAACATTTTTGGATAGCGAAAACAAAATAAATAGAAACATACACCACCACGGGCAACTGAACGAGGCTAAATGACTGCATTTATGAACTATATATGACATACTTCACTTTTAATATATATTTTTTTTCTTTTTAAACACACTTTGTATGTGGGGATTACCTTTCTGAACTTGCGCACAGAAGCATACTCCACTCCTCCTGGCTCTTGATTTGTCAGAGAGCTGACAGAGGACAGAGGAGATCTGTTCATGCCGTGATTATTACCTCGTCCTGGTATTGTCCCATTGCCACCATTTATTCTGCCATTCCCTCTGCCATTCTGCAAAACAAAACACAACAGGTTTCAACAACTCCCCCTAGTGTAAGTCACTGTGTAAAGAAGACATTTCAATTGGTATTTAAAATATGACATACATAGATCCTTCTTCTACATTTTGAAACCAACGTGCATGACCCAGAGTCATGTTGGGCTCAAATGTTTTGAATGATCATCGCTAGTAAGTACAGAGAAGTGGGCGGAGATAAAGTAGGAGGTAGGTGTAAACTGAAATTTTCTGAGCCTCCAAGTCTCAAATGCAGGACAAAACAGGATGAATGAATCAATCAAAATAAAAAACAGAGTAAGCTTATGGTGAGCGAACATTGTTATTGATACTTTGCAGCTGATGACATTATTCCCTGGAGGATGTGACATCATATCTGAGATCCAAGTGGAAGACAGATGGATAAACGAACACAGATGACTGTGGGCTCTGCTCTGTCTGAGGCTTGGGTAGGGTAGAATCCCCACTGACTGAAATTGTTGAAACCACAAAAGGTGAGCATTAACCAAAAGTTTTTCACTTAGCTACTCTCATCTTTTTGTTGAAAATCTAAACTTAAACAGGACCATGAACACTTGAATTGATCGCCAGCTCCAGAAAATGTGCTGTTTAAATCCATTTTACATGGATCATCTTAAAACTTATTTGATTGTGTTTGCTAATGTGTGTATTGTGTCTCAGTGACAATGTCACTGCAGTATCAATAACGTGGTCAAAACCTCAGCAGTTTTTATACAGTATTCAACTCACATTTCCAAAAGCATTCCCTCCTCGTGCTCCATTGGCCTGTGCAGGGGGGCTCTGTGCTGCTCGGACAGACGCTGGGGAGTTGGACAGTATGGAGGGCGGGGCAGAGGGGACCTTGTGACCTGCCTCGCCCTCCCTCACCCCCACGGTCTCGTACAGGCCGTCATCAAGGGCGTGGGTCGGGGTGGGGTTGTTCCTCACTCCCACCTCTGTGTAGGTGTGAAGGTCTCTAGGCTCTCCTCCACCTCCACCAACCCCTAGTCCTGTCTCTGGGTCTCCCCCCGTCTCTCCCCCACTGTCCTGGCCACTTCCAGGGGGGCTAGTGGGGATCTGGGGGAGCTGACGGCCATGCGAGGGTCTCAAGTCCGTCTGGGAGCGGCGACTGTGAAGCAGCAGGAGATCCATGCTGGCGGGTCGACTTTTACTGACTGCTATGAAGAGAGAGTGTTACTGACGGCATGTTACGTCAGAGGGTGCTTGTTATGCCAGAGTTAATAGATACAAACTTGTCAACGTGTCACTTACAGTTTCCATTGCAAGGAAAACGATTAATCTCATGCAGCCTGGTGTCGGATTTGCTCATTGAGTTCAGTTTAGGATGCCGAAGAGTCCCTTGCTGCAACATATGCAGTTCAGGTAGAAATGTAAATACAGTAGTTGAAAGGGCTACACAATATAATAAAAACATGACATAAGTATACAAAAGCATGATCATAGTCTATATTTATAAATGGACAAATGGATTAATGTGCCATTCCAAATAGGAAGTGAACATGGGGGCGCTGCTGCAGAAATCCTCACCATTTTGGTCTTAAATGCTCGTGTTAACCTGCTTTACCTGTTTTTTAACAAATTTCTATTCCTCATATGATACCTGGCTCCAAATTCACCCCTGTAACTGTTAACCTCATGAGCTTCATTTGACTGGAGCCAAACACTATGGGTACCATCACACTCCTTTTGTCCACTTCTTTATACAGTCTATGCGTGTGATATACTGCTGAAATAAATATACACGATAAATGATAAAGCTGAAACTAATCTAAGTCACTGACACAAAACCCAAGAGCAAATTGAAACCACAAAAACTATTCTAATTATAAATATGAAAAAATCATGAGCTGTAATAAATAAACAGAAGTATTAAACACTTTGGTATTTAGTTTGCATCTGTAATGAGTCATAGAAGTTATTATTTCAAACCTTTTTAATTCAACCTTTTTTATATTATCATAGGGCAAAAAAATAATCAAAACATTTCCCATTAGTAGGATAGAGAAAGAAAAAGTACTGAATATTGAACCCCAAAATATATTGTTCCAGCTTTCATATATTCAACAGTAAATTTAAAAATATTATTTAACATGACAGGCCTATGTATAACTTAAATGGAAATGTTTTTGTCAATAAATGCATGTATATGAACTATGCAGCCCTGAGTTTATAGAGCGTGCCATACTTTATGTAGTTTTCAGTTTGCATAATGTTAAACCAATAGATGTTTTAAGATGCTTAATACTAAATGCTGAGTTCTTTGAAAAGTTTTCTGACACTACTGACCTTATTCTACCCTCCTCACTTTTGCGTAAATGCAACTAAACCATGCTTTCTTTGTAGTGGCACTTCTGGTTACGGGAGATTCCCATTCAGTTCAAGAAGTGAATTTGGGAAAAGGTTTGTTACTAAAATATGAAATAAAGTAGGTTTATTTGTGTAAAATGTTCAATTTTCATATGCACCAACAGGTCAATACTGCACCAATTCTCTGGGAGGCTTTAAAAGTGCTTTGTGATCTGGATAGAGCTAATTCACTGTGAGATCTGCAGCCACATGCAAAATAATACAACCCTAATAATACAATCCAATACCTGCAGTGACCCAGGAATTTATTCCACAGCTTTTTATATCTTTTTGGCTTATGTATCTCTATGGACATTTTGGACACTGGTACACCAAACAACATGAAGGACTTTGTAAAATTTGTTTGACATCCAATTCCAAGCTCTATTAAGACTATGATAGACAGAAGAGGTCTCACCATATTCACAGACGTCCCCTTTTCTCCTGCGGGGGGATGCTTGCTCTTGCTTTTCCTGAGAACACATCAGCGCAAAGCAAGGTCAGCAGAAGCCAGTGGACAGAGACAGAGGACACGCACAGAGCCAGAGAGAGAGATACTATCACAATGAAACTTTGGTGAGGGCTCAGAAGTCCTTGGTGATAACAGGAGCCCAGTCAAACAGAGGAATGAATCGTGACTCTGGGTTTCATGCTTACGCAGTAACTGTCCTTGGCATAAAAAGAATATTTCTGAATATACTAAAACATCACACCACAGATGACTTAAATTCTGTTTTAGTTTATGATAATTAAAAAAAAAACATTTTGTTGTTCTAAATGTTGATCTTTGTTAGATTAATCTTTAGGCAATATTTTTGTATATCCTGTATTTCAAGTTAACCTTAGTTGGATTGGATTACCATAAGATTTAGTTTTCACAGACAGAATTATTGTAATTTTTAGCAATAGAAATACCTGTAATGGACAAATGCAAGATAGATGTGTCAGGAGAGTGACCCACCACAAGAAAAAAAGCCAATACAGTCTCTAGAGTTTGTCAGAATAGGAATAATATCGTACTTATTAAATATTAGTATATTTAAGGTATAATGAAAACTGAAATGAACCTTCTAGAAAAGTATTCACATCAGGTCAAATCTTTTCTAAAGGCTAGGAGAGGAAACAAATAAACTATAACAATGGCTTATCTTAATACAAAACTACACTCTTAATACATAAGTGAAAGTTGTTTGTGGTATGTTGTCAACTCCTACGAGACTTTACTGTTGCTACAGGATACTGTGGTTGTGGTAAGAATGCTATGGATGATGCTGAGCCCCAGGTGACCTACCATGCCTATATTTTTCCCAGATGTGGAATACTTATGTGTCAATAATTAGCATTAAGCAGGTGCGACACACACATACATAATCCAATCGTATTCATAGCAGGTACTTTCTCACAATCTGTGCTACGACTGTGAGCTATTGTCTCCTCTAGCGATCTGGAACGACATCCTATTTGTACAAACATATGGGCATCGGACCCAGAGGGGATCATGGGAAAAAAACAGGCCCCAGAGGAGAAATTCATAATAACATTGCACAGAAGGGACCCACAGTGAAGAAGTATGAAGGCTTATAAATAAGGCCAGTCAGAAGGGAGAATAGAGAAGTGGGACATGAGGTCTTTCTTGGTCAGAAATCAATACTGGAGACAGGTTGTTTTTGTGAATCAATGAACATGGCAGAGTTAATAACAGAGAAGTGCAGGGTGCGGGGGTTGGCAGAGTGGTTAGCCCTTCTGCCAAGTCAAGCTTGTATAGACTAGACAGTACTAAACAGAGTCTTTGGGGCCCCGGGCAAGAAGGCTGATATGGGCACTCCATATACTGCAATGAGACTGCATATCCTAATGTTGGATTTCCATTTGCATTAGTGAATAAATACAAATAATAATGGACATATAAATATATCTAGGGATAGGGCTCTGATCATTTTAAAAAGTACATTTGGAATACATTTGGAAGTTGAACTGATTGACTTGCTTTTGTATGTCATTGGGCATTGTCATACTGTATCCTTGTACATTCAAAACACATTCTGTTGCAAAAAAATAAAAAATAACATAGTAAAACAATACAATACTCAACACTCATTCTTATGTACGATATCACTGCCACCTTTCTGTAATCCAAAGAGGATGCTTTTTTATCTTAAGATTTCATACAGCCTTCATAAGAGCTGCCTTGACATTTTCCTCCATATCTGTGTAACCCATAGCAACCCAACCACAGATCACAAAGTATTTTGTGATTGGTCCCTGAAGTCTGCGGTCCACCCTGGCTCAAAGCGTGATCCTCTTAAAAAAGTACAGGGTGCACACTGCTAGCCTGTATCTAAAGCTGGATGACGTGAGGGTGCTCTGAGTCTCGGGGCTGTCTCCTCCCTGCCCTGTAAACAGCACAGTATCTGATCTGGCATCACAAAGCACAGGATGAAAAAACAGGCAAAGACTTCTCAAGAGATGGATAAAAGAGATGGTTAGATGATGAGGTTGACTTGGGAATCCACAATGGCCCATCGGCTTATGCAAGAGCTTTGGAAAAAATTTACAGGGACTACAGTTATTTATTTTCAATCATGATAACTAGTCTGTTAAAGGTACAATGTGTACATTTTATGGTGGAAAGTCCATCAAATGCTTTTCTCCAGATGTTATCGCTTTGCCTGGAATGTTTCACAGTATGGTACTAAATAAAGATAATTAAATTAAATTAGGAATTATGATAGTTTATGTAGGCTAACAAAACTGTGAATATGCTACTTTTCTCTCATCATAATCCAAATAATTAAGATTTAAAAGTGCGTAATAACTGTTATTTCAACATGTAGATTGGACTGAAACAATGCAAGGATCATGGTCTATGTAGTTCCCTTTGTTTTTGGCTATTGCTACACCATAACAATTCATTTAAGCAAATAAATCAGTGATTCGATATATTGTAATGGCCAATGATATTTTTGTGAGACTTTTGATGATACAATATCACGAAATTTTGGTTATTGTTACATCCCTAGTATTAAACCTTTCTATTTTCATGGAAACCAAACCACACCAGGGTACAGGTCACATCTGTGGAGAGGCAACCCCGCTCACAGTAAGAATGTTCATTTTTCTAGGCATTTTTGAGCTATAAAACCACCCATATTTTAATGAATCTAAGGTAGAAGTGTTTAATGTTATACTCTGGAACATTCCAGGCAGAGCAATGACATCTCCATAGAAACAAGGCAACAGATCCCCAACCAAAAGTTACATAATGCACCTTTAAATAGACAAAATCAGGTAAAGCTGAGAGACAGATAATATTACTAATCAGGAAAATTATTATTAATATAAGTTTTTTTGTCACTTTCTAACCAGAGGGTGAACAGTTCAATTTCCTTTCTAGCCCTGTGTCCATGGGTAAAACCTTTTAGGGGCAAACAGGGGCATTGACTTATTGGGGTAAAAGGTATTTGCACAAGGGCCCGAGACAAAAGGGGCCTTCAAAAGTTTGTTAAGTGGATTTATACAGAACTAACCAAGATCCAGAATTTTGCCGCTACATTCATAGTCAGGGAAGTAGCAATTTTGTTTGAGAAATGGGGCAGAATAAGATAAAAAACTAAGGAAACATGCTATTTTTCAGTGGTGTCTGACAGAAACAAGTCAATGCTTCCTTCTCACCTCTGGCAGCCAACACAGACCAGGACGATAAGAATTGTGACGACGAATGCCGAGGCAGCAGCAATGGCTCCCAGAAGCAGCAGGTTCTTGAAAGGAGAATCCCACTGGTTGGTGTCTTCATTTTCACTGATGTCATTGTCACTCATTTTGCTTCTTGCACCACAAACTCTCAGGTCTCAGCGTCTGAAAACCTGCACAGATACAGCAGAGGAAGAAAAGACTACAAGACCTGACTGACACCAGATAAGGAAGATGAATACTGCAGAGAAATGGTGCTATAAGATCTTAGATGATAATAATGTGTGTGCGTGCTTGGTTTGCCTTTGGCTTTTTGTCACTGTCGCTTTCTGACATACCGGCTGCTATTTTTGAATCCAAAACAGAATAATGCAGAGGAATACAAAGCACCTCACAAAGCAACTGAAATAGGCAGAATTAAATGGGCGTCAATGTGTTCAGGCATTTTACTGAGATAGACTAATGTTTGACTGTATGAAAGATGTTTAAAGAAATAGCTGATTTGTAAAAGTGAAATGAAAAAGTAGTCTATGCAATAAAAACTGAACTCAAACCACATAGGTAGGTATAAAAGTTCATGCACTGTTGGAAATCATTTGTCTGGATGGTGTTTTGAATCCACAAAAGCCGTTATAAGCTTGAACAATTCACTTTGAACTTGATGTAGTACCTTACTATTTTGGCTATTTAATCTTTGTAGTTTGTATATTTCACAGTGTCAGATGTTGTCTGTAATGTTGAATATCTTGTGGTGCACTTTGAGCTTTTCGCACGTTTTTTCAATGCACTTTTTCACTACAAACGGCAAATAAACCTCTCACGTGAATGTTTACCGTTAATACAAACTAGAAGTTACTATTATGGTCAAAGTTACCAAGGTAATATGTATAAGTATGCAGTACAGCTCTACACAAACTCAATTAATGTCCGACATATCACCTCTGGGGAAATGTGCCTGATGTTCCTACATCACTGCTCCAATTAAAAAGATTAGTTAAGACAGTGTTGTACTTCAAAGGGCATTCCAAAACAATTTAGAGACTTTGGTGAAGCCCAGCCAACTCCTCAACACAGGGAGCCAACACTTCTGATCTGATGCAAACTATTATTTTATGCTTAATCACAATTACAAAAACACAGAGGAGAACGTGTGTTAAGAATTTAAAAATTATGTTATATACTTTTTATATGTTGTATTAAATGTAAATGTTTTCTTTCACCATCTTAAATGCTGCACAGTACTGTACGCCAGTTACATAAAGGAGGGGTCATACAAGATGCCATGTTAAAATATACATCAGTCAAGTGATCTCACTTAAAGCACACACCGTGCAATTTAAACAGCTCAAATGTATAGCGTACATATTCCTCTCACAGTGTTTTTATATCATATCATTTGTTTAAATAATCTAATTGTATGCTGGCTTCAGCTGCCTATTACACTGAATAAAAGGGCACACAGCAAGGACATGTACCGGCTCATATTTGAAATCCGAGTACAGGTGTGTAAATGAAGTATTGGGCCCTATGTAATTCCATTTTCAGTGAGGCAGCTCATACAAATCAATGCCCCAATGCTTCCCAACAGTCCAGGCAGACATTTCGAGACATCCTGGCATTTGCGTCCACTGCTCCGTCCTGTCTCCCTGCCACACAGTGCAGGCATTTAGTGAGCTCGCTGTCTGCCCTAAACAATAAACAAAGGAGAAATGCATTGTGTGCTATTTTGAATTAAGGTCAGTTGTCAATAGCGTGGTCTTGTCAGTGCACAATGTCTAATGCTTGCACATTCTACAAGCACTAGAAAACACACAGCTCCTGAAAGCCACTGTCCCTGTCTCGCAATGATAAACATATTAAGCCTGGGGTCAAACTGAGGGTGTTACAGTTGTGGTGTTAAACGCTCAGAGTATGAAGTCAGTGTTCAAAACTGGGTACTACTACTGGGTACTACATTATAATAACTGCACTTTTAATTCCCCTAATTAAACACACACAAAAGCTAGTAAGTAGTAGTAGTAAATAGTTCAGGCTTAGTAACTTAATGAATACCCTAACCCTGACTTCTAACTCTGATTCTTTATTAAAGTAGTTACTAAGCCTGAAACATTCAACTCAAACAATTTGTTCATTTTTATTAAGTCATTGTTCATGCTTTAATAATGCTAATTAAAGTGTAGTGATTATACTCTTATAACCAAAACCACATAAAATTATGAGATTCAGTACTACCTGACTTAGACTACAGTCTCAGAGTGGTAAAATACTTAAAGGCAGGGGTGTAGTGGGTGTAGTACATGGGGATACGCCGTCCACCCACTTCTCCCAACGTAAGATATAAGAAATAACAAATATAAAATACCCTACAACTTAAATGTCAAACCAGAGCTATTGGCAATGGTGAAAACAACCTGCATAGACTCATGATATCTGCAGTACTGTCCTATCATGACCTGCCATATGAGGGACCAGGACTGAACCTGGACTGAACCAGGACTGAACCAGGACTGAACCAGGAGTGAACCAGGTCAAAACCAGAACTAAACCAAAACTAAACCAGAACTGAACCAAAACTAAACCAGAACAGAATCAAGACTGAGTGTTGGGATGGGCCCGGAGGTGCGCCCGCATAGATCGTTGGGTGACCACAGGATAAAGGACTGGCGCACAGCTCCGCGCCCCAAAGGTCTAAGTGCAACCCTAGTCCTGGTTTAGTCCTGTTTTAGTCCTGTTTCAGTCCTGGTTCATGTGTTGTAGCCTATAATTTTTGTTTTGTAGGTGATTATGAATGGCGTAAATGTTAATAACATGATTCCACTTCACATTGAGTAAAAAAACATTCATCACATCGATAACATCATGAATCGCGTATCCCCGCTTAAAAAATCCCCACTACACCACTGCTTAAAGGTGTATTATGTAACTTTTTAGGTGGAGGCTCCATTATCTCCTCGTCTCCATGGAGATGCTGTTGCTTTGTACAGAATGCCCCACAGTATTGCATTAAATGACCACAGACCACACACCTTTCCACAGATGTGACACACAGATCTGAGGAAAGGTGACCCTGCTCATGTTTTAAAGCAATAAAAACACCTGTAATTGATGAAATGCAAGATAGTTTAATGCTACTGTGGAACATTTCTGGCAAAGCAACAACATCTCCATGGAAAAAGATCAGATGACAGACAGAACCTCCAACAGAAGAAAAGTTACACAATGCACCTGTAAAATGTATTAGTTTATGATGCTTGGTTGGTGCTTAACCTTGAAAAATAATTCTGGACAATTATTCAGTTCCACAGTCATGAGGAGATTTTCATTATGGACAGTACATTTGAGAAACATTTAAAAATGACCAAAATTCAATAGAAAGAATAATCTAGCAAAGCACTGTATGAAATGGAATTAGGAATACCACCAGTGGCTCTCGCTCGACTGTTTCTTAGAGATAAAACAGCATCTTGTCCTCTTTTCCCCAGCCCCCTCCCCACGCTTTCCCCTCTCAATGCACAGCGAATGAATTAGACCCAGCCTGAGACACCAGAGCTATACGAGACAGACCAGGTAGAGAACGGGAGAATGAACCAGGAGGATGAAGTACAGGCAGGTGGGAGAGGAGGTGAGGATGTATAGAAGAGAAAGGGGGCGCCGGTAAAGAGGGTGGGGGAGGGATTGAGTGAGAACACAAGAAGGAGGTCATCAGCACTCTGTGTCTGGTGAAATATTCAGAGAAGAAGAAACAGACAAATGAGGGTGGCATTCGGAGGCACAATGCATGATGGGAAAATGTACATTGTAGTGGTGTGCCATAGCAGTAGGATTGCATGTCAGTAAATTAAAATGGAGTAGAGGAGATAAGGCAATGTTTTGCTGCTGTCTAATTATAATAATTTAAAAAAAAAAAAGATTTACCCCAATAATTATGTTAATTTTAACAATGGACACTAAGTTTAAATTTTGGTGTGAAAATGTAAATTCTTATGTAGGGCTGGGTATCATTAAGAAGTTGCCGATACGATACATATCTCGATACATAGGCCATGACACGATACATATCTCGATACATAGGCCATGATACGATACATATCTCGATACATAGGCCATGATACGATACATATCTCAAAACAGTGCACTTTCCATTTGATATAATTCAAAACAATTTGATATGGCTCAATAAAAAATAAAGGCTAAATCATGGCTGTGATACTAAAAGTCTTTGTTAAATCACTTCTTGTGGAAAGTTCATATGAAACACAAACATTTTAATCATCAAAACAGTGAAAATGTGAAAGTGTTGCATAAATGACCATACCAAGCAACAAAACTGTAGCACTGTAACAAAATAATTTTGTTAAATATACCAAAAAATACTTTTCGCGATATATATCGATACAGCAGCTCTCAATATCAATACTATCATCACAATGTATCAATATTTTGATATTTTTGCACACCTCTAAACTTAAGCAATGTCGCTTCTTTAAAGATCTGGCTTGTAAATTGGCTTCATAGTGGTACCTGCTTGTCTCCATGGAGATTGATCATTTTATTACCCTATTGTGGCACATCACAGGAGAAGCACTACCATCTGCATGGAGAGCTAAAGATGAAAAAGTGTACTCTTAAATTAGAATAATACATTTTTGACATGTTATAATCCCCCTTGAATATTTTCTCCTGTTCTAAAGGTAATAAATAAATAAAAATCTAGAACCTCACATATTTCTGTCAACATCTGTATTCCTCTTATAACATTGTGTGACTGCAGTGCTAACAGCTGAATACTGAGGCAGCCCTATCAGTGCACAGGGCTGCTAATAACGATCACAAAGATGTCGCTGATGGAGAGGAAGGGGACGGGGAGGAAGGGGATTGGGGGAGAGTGTGCGTGAGAGAGAGCTTGAATGTTGATTGCAGTTGTGGTGATAACGAGGTTGCCGTGATGAGATGTTGGTGAGTTTGTTATGGTGGCAGCAGCAGCAGCAGCGGCAGCGTGGAGGAGGCAGAGCAGCCGTGCACAGTGCACACCAACTACAGACTGGAAGATTTTCTCTCAGTGTGACATCAAATGCACTATACACACATCCACACAGCAAGGCAGAGGGTAGTGTAGTCAAAAACAGGGAAGAAATCGCTCAAATAAAACAATAGACATACAATCTATACATTTGAATGGCCTATTGACATATTATTATTAGAGATAGACCAATATGGGTTATGTCAGGGATGATGTCGGTACTTACTATTTAGCATTCAGAGAAACTGCAGACCAATAAGCTCTGCCAATATTTTTTGGGCAGATATAAGGCAGATTTAGATTATTTTCCTACATTTATGCCATTTGAATTTATTACAAACTCACTGATAGCTCTTTTTAACACAAAATTTTGAGAAAGATGTGTAGTTTCAATTTCTGCTATTTTAATCTTATTGAGGCAGAATAATTTAGGAGAAACACTGAGTTGCAATTTGATTAGATTTATGCTTTAAAATTTGGATTTGGTTTACAATTAAAATTTTAAGCAGGTGGAGGAGCATGAACATAACATTTGAGAGGAGACTGAATAAGAAACACATGCATGCTTGAACAAGTCGAAGCCACAGTCCACAGCTAGCAGTTATTTTTACACAATGATATGAAATATTGAATTGTTTTATTTATACTGGTTAAATAATTGCATTGTTTGTGATCTAGCAGTCCTATTTCTGACATAATCCTATATTTATGCTCTGGGTCTGTTCAGCTGAAGCCCTTTCAGTTATCAGAGTCTCAACACCAGTAACACGTTTTGTGAGGCGCGTTTCTGACTGATGATATAAATATCTTGTGCAAACGCCGCTACAGCAGGAAGTGGGACAATCTTTTAAGGTTTAAAAATACACTAGAACTGATTTTTGTAGAATCTGCTCGCTGTTACAAAAGCTGTATTTATAGTTTTGCATTACATCACCACTCATGCTTTTTTTTTTTTTGCGAAGTTGGAAAGTCTATCCTAAAGGTGCACTGTGCAACTTTTCTAGTGGAGGGTCCACTACCTGCTTGTCTACATGGAAATGTGTTGTCTAGAATATTTCACAGTATACATTAAACTTATCTATCACAAGGGAGATAAGCAGGTTACAGCACTAGGCTACATTACAGTTCAGATCTGTGGAGAGTCGCTCCTATTCACAGAAGCAACTTAAGTATTTTTGAGCAACAGAAAAACTCGTAATGAATAAATGCAAGATGTTTAATGTCATACCATGGAACACTCCAGGGAAAGCACTAACATTTCCATGGAGACAAGCAGGTAAGGCTGTGCAATTAATAATTTTTTTTTAATATTGAGATTGTAGAACAGCTGGATATATAGTTTATTTTGGATACATTTATGTTTTTCTACACCTTATTTCATGTTCAGAGTATATTTTATTTATTCATTTTATGTTTTATACATCACAAAACTGCTCTAAGGTACAGATTTGTAGCCTATATTTATTTTCAATTTGAAAGTTTTGCTCAAATGATCAATAACAACGTTTTTTTTTGTTTTTTTTTTGAGAGAGACAGAAATGCTTAATAACTATGCTGAGTAACTAAAAAAATTCATCGTGAGTACAATATTGACCAAAATAATTGTGATAATAATTTTTCCATAATCGAGCAGCCGTACAAGCAGCAATAATAACAGATAAAAGTAAGAATGCTACAATCTGAATCCTGCATAAAAATATTAGTCACTCTCTTCTTCTTTGTCTAAAATTGGATTGGCAATGTCATGGTCCTAGGCTTTTTCCTTTTTGTTATGACAGATCCTTCACAAACAAAATCTAATGTGCAAGTTCCTGAGTGCAGCTCTCAATCTGTCGTTACATCAGGTCAAATGGAGATGAGATAGTGCTGTGACTTCCTAAACATATTTATTACAAGCCTCTTTACGAGCTTCAGTGACTATAAAAAAGAATAACCATAAGTGATCACTGTCTAGATGTCCAACCTCCTCAGATAGTATCAAGTGCTTTATAGAAACATGACAGAATGTAAAGTGGATCTGATCATTGTGTTTTTTTTCTAATATAATAAAGTCTTGCATTGATTTAGATATGTATGTTTCTTATAGTTAGACACTGACGATCTGTAGTAGTTGTTTCATTGTTGGCAAGGATATATGATTGTGAAATACAAAATAGTATTTGGTGAACATGTAGTAAAGGTTATTGTGTAAACCTGGTAATATGCAATGGCCAGCGTAGCATAAAGAGAAACAGCACTATGTCAATCTGCTTTCTCTTTCAAAACTATAACAGAACACATCTAAAACTATGCAAAGGTTTTAGTGTGAAATTAAGAAAATATTTTTAAACAGTATAGAAGTGCAAACATTAAGTGTCAACAACTGAAGGACCTGTGCACAGACAGAGTCAGTGTCATTTGTATATAATGGGGACGGGCATTCGATTCAATTTTCTTAATCGATCGTCGGGAAAATTAATGATACATTTTTGATTAATCGTTGACGTTTTTATATTAAAATGATCATCAGGATTATCACTTTTACTAATTTGCATAAATAAACTCTTAAAACTTTACAACATATAAACCATAACCAATATAGTGTCACATCAGCCCATTTGAGATTATAATGTGTATAAAGCACATTTGTGTAGGTTTTATAGAAATGAAACTTAAAACCACATGGCTCATTTGCATAAACTATTTGTGCTGCTTTTTTTTTTTTTTTTTTTTAGCTCTTAGTGCAGCTCTTTATTTAACAGTCATTTCACTCACTTTATTTATGTTGGTCACTTTATCTATTTTGGTTACTGTTGTGATGAAAAGAAAGTGTTTGTCTTTTGGACGCGTGCACCCAACTTCATGTGGCAGTAACCGGGATACTGCAAATACATGCACGATGACGAAACTGGGATATTCAAAAAAAAGATCATAAACGGGACACTGATGTCCATTTATCCACACTCAGTGAGTGGTATAGTGATCTCCAAGGAGGTGCCAGCGCTGAAACGTGAGACTGTGAGGCCTCAACTCCAGTGTTTGTGCTGTCAGACGTCTTCTTACGCTACACACAGCAACCTACATTCGGGTTGTCGATTAAAAATAAACATGATCAACGTAATTCTTCAATGATCAATTAGTCAACTAATCATGCCCATCCCTAGTATATAGACTGCATTGTTTTCTGCTATGTATTCTGTGTTCTGTATGAGAGCTATAGTCTGGTAGAAAGCATCTCTTTAGTTGTTGTTGATTAATGCTCTTGCACATGGTCCCTGTAAAATAACTGCAGTAAACTAAATAAAGTATGTCAGCACACAATTAGCAGACTATTAACTAGGGATGCACCAATACGATACTGTTATTGGGCATCAGGCCAAATATTGAAAATTTGGACTGATCAGATACTGGTTCAATCGATATCAATCCGTGTATCATTCGTTCATTCGATTTTGAAAATGAAACCAAAAATAAGAAAACGAAAAAAAATAAAATAAATTTCTTCATTATTTGTCAGCAAAATCAAAATGACAAAACGAATAACGATTCATTTTTTCAGTTTTTGGTTTTGTGTTTAAATGAATAAAGGAAAAACGGATAATGGCCGTTTCCTGTTTCCAAGACTTAAACTACAGTATCAGATTTTTGCGCCATATACGGACGGATATCACATTTTGGTCTATAAATTACGATTTACTGGTCAATGCTGGAACAAAAGACCTCATAATAGTTTTCAAAGCTGTTGTGTACTTTTAAATGAGGAATAATGGTTACAAGACACATTTTTACCAGACGCTGTTTGTGGAATGGAATGGAATACGATAAGATATTTATTGACGGTGGATAGATGCGATGTTTGGGGGGAGACTCAGGGTGGGGGACCAGCTGATTCGGAATCCCCCCACTTAAAGATTATGTCTTCGGATAGAAGGATGGATGAGAGACACTGGGTGGGTGGGAGGGGGTCGAAGGAGCTGATACAGACGGTGTTGTCGGGAACGGCCGTATAAATAGGCCTTCGGGGTAATTGAAGGCGTGGTTGAGCTAAGTTGTGGTTGGCTGGGGAGGAGGTCGAGGCACGATTCTGCTCTTGAATGTCAGTCAATCATATTAACTCCACAAATAATATTTTCAGTCTCTGTTCTGATATCTGTTGACATCGAGTATCGACAGATGCTTAAAGCCAAAGTATCGAAATCAGTATCGGAACAGCAAAAGATGAATTGGTGCTACTCTTAACCCCTAATCTCTACATTAAAAAATAAAAAAACTAATAAATTTTTGTAATAAAAAGTAATGCAATATCCACATCCTGTAATAATCCAAAAAATTTGTATGAATACAGAGTGAAGATCAGCGGGGGACTACTAAATAGATACACACAGATTTGCAAAACCTACTGTACAATTCTCAGTGGGGGACGACTAGCAGTTCATTTGGTTACTCCTGGGTAAAGTGTTATTTGTTTTATCGGCTCATGCCACAATAGCTGTGATGTCCTCAAATGGCAAGCCTTGAGTGGGATTATTTTTAGAGTTTTACCGGATTTGAACATTTCAGTGGTTTGCCTCATCCCCTGTCACATTGGTGAAATCTTTGCACCA